TATATATATATATATATATATATATGCTTGTGACTGTGTATGCCTGTGTCTGGATATGTGGATATGTATGTGTACATCTTCTACTCAGCATGAAGTACCATCACCCCTTTGCCCCTTCCATTGCTCCATTTCCTATCTTTACTTTGAATTTCTGGAAACATGAGGTCATGATAAGGTTAACTTTTTGCTTAAGTTAAATTGTGTGTAGGAAATATGGGCTGCTCTTTAAAAAATAAATACCAAGTATAATTTATCCATTTCTTAAGACTCCAAATGGAGTTGGCTCCTGCTGAACCCAAAACTCTTTGGAGCATATTTTGTAACTGGCTTTTCCTTCCTTAGGGGAAAGAAATTACCCTAATTGCTAAAAGGTGCTGGGGCCAGAAATGACATTTCTGGTTATAATGTGAGCCTAGGGATACAGAACAAGAAATACTTGACTCCTTTGTGCTGAAGCCATATATCCTGTTCCAATACCAGCCACTCCTGGCTTGTAGAACTGTGGGGGTAACTTGTCATATGCTCTAATACCCAACCAAACCAGAGCCTAACAAATATAATTTAGGATATCTACACAAAAACAAAAGGATTCTATATGTGAAAGTAGTGTGCAAGCCAAATTGTTCCTAACTTTATGCTACCAAAGAGCCTGGATAGTTTCTTAGACAACTAAGTGGAGACCAGACAACTACAGTTATCAGTCATTGTGGATTCTCTCTGCTGCGTAGCCTCATTCTTCTACGTTGGGTGCTGGGCATTGTGGAGCACACAAGTCCATTACCAGCCAGATAAGAACATTGCAAAGGATCTTGCTTATAATCCTGTATCTCTGTTAGGATAAGAATAGCAAGTTTCTGCTTGGAGTAGGTACCTGAAATCAGTAAAGTACATTCTGAGCCTCTATGACTGGTACTATTGCTAGAAATCAGGGCATTAAACTTACCGTGACTCTGAACTTAGGCCTTTATTCTCTAGAATGTCAAAATATTCAAATTTATGTGCCTGTTTTGACAATAGTTCTTTTACTATCTCTGAACCAGAATCCTCAGACTCAGCATTGGGCTCTGGAAATTAGAAAGGATGGACTCTATCTTTGATAACAGTAATTTCTTTTTCTTCTAGATTTTCTAGGCTTAAGTCACCTTCCAAACTGCAACCAGCAGCATCCTGTGGAGTTAAGGGTGTGATTCTTCTGAACAGTTACTTTCTGAGACTTCTACAAGATAACCTCACCCCCATCCTCTACCACTTCAGAGCATAAATGTTATGTCTTCTATTACTGCTTTTCTTTATAAAGGAGAGATTGGATTTTAATGCTCAGTAGTGTTTGAAGAATGAGATAAAGTTCCCTTCCGAATTACTCCCCTCCTCCTCCCCTACTCCTGCCTCTCCCCGCCCCCAACTAAGTTATTTCCGAAGCCCTCAGTTTCAGGAACCATATTCCATTAGTCATCAAACTTTTGGACAGGGTTTTTTTTACCTTCACTTTTCTAACATGGTATCTTCCATACTTTAATTCTTTTGGCCCTGCCAGCAACTTTAGTGGCTTCTAAAATGAGACTTGGTTTCAAGAGTAACAGTAAATTCTGAATCAGGGATCCTGGCCTCATGAGAATGATGGCTTCTACTTGAGTCTCCTCCACCTTTTCACCCTCTGCCACAACCGTTCCCTTTCCTCATGCTGTCACTGATCGCCCTCTCAGCAGTTTCCCACCCATCTCAACTCAGGGGAGTAAAGAATACCTACCTTGGAATTTTTATCTTCCACATTCAGGGTGGACATATCAATGAAACATATCTGCATCAAATAAGGAGGGTGCATTTAGAAAAAACTCTAGAGAAAAGACCATTAGTTTTCTTTCTGGGAGATAACAGCGCCTATCTTATAGGGGTCTTGTGAAGATTGATTGAAATAGTGCATGTAAAGCTTTTAGCTTATGATATACAGAGTGCCTGTATATAGTAAGTACTCAATGAATGTTAATAATATGATTATCATTGGGCAGGCAGAATCTTAGCATGACTATATTTCATAAGCAAGAATATCTACCTGTAAGAGAGAGGAGCAAAATACAATATTCACCTTTTTGAGAAAACTGAGAAGAGAAGTGGCCTGTCCAAGAAACACAAGCTCAAAGGTAGAACTTGTATTGGCACTTGATTCCCCTGGCTCTCAGTTTAGAGCACTTTCTACACTTGTGTTCTCAAAAGGTGGTATTCCTTTTTTTTAAACTATTGAAGATACAGAAGATTTTAAGTGGTACATGGATAAATATTTCTGTGTTTAATAGGTGCATTTTTTATTGATCATTAGGAAAAACATACTAGAACATCAAAATTGTGATGGACAATATTGCTTAGGGTGATGGTAATTGTTAAATGTATTTAAATGTTAAGTGCATTTTAAACCAATGTTTAAACACATATTAAGTAAATAATAGTATGAGTGGCACTTGAACATAGTAAAAAATGTGAAGTACTATGCAAAGCACTTGACATTTGGGAAACAGAGCCTGATATATTTGCCCCCCTGAGGGGGGATCCCACTTTAGTATACCTTACAGGTAGCTAGGTGACATTATTATGACTTCAGATGTATAGGTAATAGAGGCTGGTAACCAGGCAACCACCACTGCCCCCTCCCCTCAGTCGGCTCCCTGGCCTTCCCTCCCCTAGCTTTTACCTCACTGCTCATCCTGCCCCTCCATTGATCTGTCCCCAGGTGATGTATAAGTACACTGGTCCCTCCACAGGCATTATTGGACTTCCTTGCTCAGAGAATTACCAGTATCACCCTCCATTAGTCTGTCCTGGGCTCTAGGACATCTATACCCATACACCAATTCTTTTCTTTCCTTGGGAGGAATCATTTTGTATCTTACCACTTTCCTCTCCTGATCTTGCTGTCCTGTTGGGCTGTAGAAATCTACCTGCAGCTGCATAACCAGTCAATATGATCAGACATCTGGAAAAGGAAAGAAAAGAAATCTGAAAGGCTCATACATGGTTTTAGAAACTCTCTCAGTTTGGCTCAGAACCTCTCAAAGGATTCCTGAATCCCATTTCTGTGTTTAATACTGGTTTAGGCTAGGAACTGGTGGGGTGAACAGTGGGAGGACACTCTGAAATGTTTGAATTTGGTGATCAAGAACAATCCATTTTCTCCTTTAACTTAAACTCCTCACACAAAGTATCTGGAATCATATTGACTTGGGAGAACACCATCAGGAAGAATGGCAGGCTGAGAAGCAAACCTAAAAGGAGGTCTAGAGACTGGGGATTCTAACTAAATCTCACCTGTCTTCACTTTTCTATATGTACTCTTGGGTAGCTCAAAGAATCAAGCTCACATCCCCTTTAACCCCCCCCTTCAACCAGTCTTTCTCATTAAAGAAAATGAAATTAGGTAAATAGTTGTAACACTTATCACATAGGGCCATTGGAAAAGGCTAAGGTGAGTAACATGAGAGAGCATAAATAGCCCTCTTTATTAAAACAAATTTCTGAGTGTTGAAAAAACTCAGGCTGATAGTCTTAAATATAACCAAGAGACAAACATCTGAGGCAAGACTAGGCTCTGATCCTTAGGATCAAGTTTAATTTAATTTTTTAAAGAAAAATTAATCTCTGCCAAACTTCCTTCCATCCCTCAGCCCCCTCCCACCTGAGCCTGGAACAAAAAGTAAAAAGGAAATGGTAGCTTTTCTTATTTAATTTCTGAGGAGCTCTCCCTTCAAGAATCTGTACAAATCCCTGAAAAAGTTCTAGGAAAAGGCTTCCCACACCCTCAGAGGAGGACGTTTCATTTTTTTTCAGGAGGTAGAGATCACTAGCCTAGAAAAAAAAAAGAGAGGGAAGTGTAGAGGTCCCTCATGTGATTTGGATATAGCCTAGGTCCGAATACTTAAGAACTGTAAAAAAATAAAATTTATGAACTCATTACCTTGATAATGAAGTTATTTTAGACTTTTGGCTGAAAATGTGACACCCAGAAGGGAGATATGTCCCTTTAGATGGAACTGGGTAGTGCCAAGTTCTTGGGCACTAGCAACTGGCTGCTACCCCCATCAGCTGTTGGGCAAGACTGATGGGCCAGGCTTTACCCTGCAGCCTCTGACATTGGTGTGACATCAGAGTTTGTTGGGTCACAATGCCCAAAACTATAGCAACCTCAGCAAGGGGTGTGGCAGGCTGGCAAGCTCAGGAGCTCTTCACATTTAAAGCACGTCAGGCTGTCCACTGTTTAAAACCTTTTTCTGTTCCTAGGAGGGTACACATATTTCTTTCACATTTTGTTCAGCTTACAGTCCCTTCAGAACCACCTTTCTCTTTTCCTTTCTTGCTAGACTTCCAGAACCATCTAATCATATTAGTTACTAGTTTGGGGGGACATACAGAATTATCACTGGGCTTTGTGAACAAAACAGTATTAATTTTCACATCTTATTTCTCTTTGGGTTTCCCACTAGAGACTCAGAATTATGTGTCAAGCCTTGAGCTGATAGAAACTATGTTAGTGTTCGTTCAAGTCTTTTTATATAGGGAGTCTTTTTATATAGATTTATGTAGAAACAGACAAATGTTAATCAAAGCCCATTCTGGGTATCCTGAATAAAAGCATGAAAATAGAAAAGTTGGAGGCTGCCTTAACAGCTTCTCTGGCTTCATCAAGACACCCCCTTAACTAGCCAAAAAAAAAAAGTCTAGAAGATGTCCCTACCTTTGTAATATCAGAGTGAGCTATTTTGTAGGACTGTGGAATGGTTTTTCTTGTCAATTTGGATGCTGTGATGATCCTTCCAGTCTGACCAGAGATGTTTCTCTTTCCTCAACCCTCCATACTCTCCTAAAGCCTTGACTGCCAGCTGATACCAGAACTTCTACTTCATGACATGGGAAAAAATGGTTTTTTTTTTAACTAAGGATTATGGATGTCTAAGTGGTCCAGCAAAATTAGCCCAGAAAAAATCCACTTAAGACAGGATCAACCTTTCACAGATTCTTCAAGGCATGAAAGGACCTGAGCCCCACTTACTCTTTTCCATTATGGCCAGTGAATTGCTGGCTAGAGTATTCCTTAGAAGATTATCCATTAGACTTTGAGATGCCTTCAGTTTGGCCCCAGTTTGGAAACATTAGCCCACAACCAAATGGCTCTCACTGTGCCCAAGTCCCTCTTCTCCTTCTCTCTTCTCTCAACATGCCTTCACTTTAACCTCATGCATGTGAATAAATGAGTCTGAATTAAAAATTAGTTGAGGTGACCCCTAAATAGTAGAGTTTCATATTCTTGGTTCCACCTCCACTTCTTCTTTTCCTTGTTACCCCTAAGATTGCTGTCTTAACCTTGCTGTACAGTTTTGATTTTGTTAGTTCATAGCATCAAAGAGAAACGGAACTGGACATTTGTTAAAGTTGGCAAGGCAGGTTTTATTCAGGCTACTGCAATAAGGGAAAGGAACTTCGGATTAACCGAGCTTTGTGTCCACTGAAACAAAAGGGAAGAGGCATTTTAAATGTTGTGGCATGTTAAAGGGAAAGTGCTGAGGGAAATTTGTATCTGTGTGTGTATGTGTGGGGGGATGTTGATCAATGTAAGTAACGCATCTGTATTTCCTAACTGGTACTTATCACGTTCAGGCTCCTACCCTTCCACAGAGGCTGGGAGGCAGTAGTACCATCTTTCTTGATAATTACATTTCAAAGGGATGGCTCCTGGATCCTTGAGAAAGACAATCCTGGATTGTAAAAGATACATCTCAAAGGGACAGAGAAAAGATTGCTCCTGGATCCTTGAGAAAGACAATCCTGGATTGTAAAAGATACATCTCATAGGGACAGAGAAACGATTAACAGTCACAACTTTTCTAAAGTAAATACTCTAAAAAAAGGAGGTCAGGGGCCTGTAGTCAGGTTTTGGCTGGAACAAACTAAATTATTTTAGCAGGGTTGAACTTCTTCAGGCAGGCATTTTAAGGAGGCTAGGACCCTAATGCTAAGGATGGCCTTGAGCTGATAGAAACTATGTTAGTGTTTGTTCAAGTCTTTTTATATAGGGAGTGGATGAAACTGTGCCACAAGTTACAGTTCTCGTAGACCAAGGTTAAAGGCCTAGTTGAGAAGAGGGCTCAGAGGAGCCTGACTCTATCAAATCATCATGTTGTACACATTAAATATATACAATTTTTCTTAAACTTTGGTCAAGGAGGAGTCTTTGTCAATGGTGATGAGCTAAGACCCATAGTACAAGACCTATTTTTCCTATAGCACCCTTTTGTCAAGGGGAACTTTGATGTTTAAAGAAAATGTTGGAGCTCCTGTGTCTGGCTCATGTCTGTGGAATAGGAAGCAAAGAAAGAAAATGTTTATTCTCTAAGCACAGAATGTATACCCCTAAGATAAAAAACCCCACATGCATGCAAACCAAAAAGACCTCTGTTCCCCAGCCAAGAAGAGAACAACCATGATATGGGCCTGGAAAATGTCTTACCAAATCCCCTGAATGACAAAGAGAGACCTATTATGGATGATTAGAGCCCTGTCCCATGGCACCCCAACCCTGTCATCCTGGAGGCTAACCAGGAACAAATAAGAGCAGCACTTGGATGGGAAATCAATAACAAAAATGTAAGGAGGCTCCATTATTGGTTACAGTATATCCGCTGTTTCTTTCTCTTTGATGCTGAAGTTCTCAGACAGGCCTTTACTGACTAGAGAGGTGGGGACAGATGGGGGAAAGGGATGGTCAAAGAGTCAAAAGAAGGAATATGCTATATTAGCATGTGAATATGTGTGAAGTAGTATCCACTTAGGTTAGCCTTTAAGAGCCGAACAGAGATTTCAAAGACAGAAGTTCTGATCATTTGTTTTCTAACTATCACCATCCATTTTCTAACCTTGTTTGTTCTACCCAAACATCTCTTGCACACAATCTTGTGAATAATTATACAAATAAATGCTTTAAATATGCTTTCAACTTGCATTTGGTTTGAAAGCTATTAAGATTATAAAAATGGGACCTGTGCTTGTAATATAATTATTATGAATAATGACACAATGAAATTTAAGTGAGCTGAACTATCAGCCTTCATGAAATCACTGTCTGCCTGTTAGTCTAACTAAGTATCTTCCAGACTCAGATTTAGCCTACCTAATTTATTTATGTGATGACAAGTGACCATTTGGAAAATGGGCAGTGATGCCAATGATTAACAGACATTATTTATTATGGACCAATACAAATGAGAGCTTCACTTCTTTTTTTCCTGAATTGTTCTCCAGCCTTGAGAATGCACAGTGTCATTTAGAATAGCTTCATACAACCATATTGAAGTGAAAAATTAGATAGCTATTGTTAACATCCCCATGGTGGTGCTGCATAACTACTTCTGTCAAGTGTTTATGTCTTTATTGTGCATATCTGTCTGTCCTTTCCTATGAGTGATTGAAGATATGTAGGGAGAAAATAAAGGACTTCAGAAACTTATAAACATTCTCATTTTTTTTTATTTCAGAGGTTGTCTGTTGAAGGAAACAGGTCTTTACACATGTTGGGGTTTCCTTTTAGGCAGGGGCTTAATCAGCAGCTAAGGTCTGTTCTACTGCCTGGTTGTACAAAATGACTTAAAGCTGTTTTTGAGGGGTGGGCTTTGCTTGGCAGTGGCCATTTCAGGTTAGGCTCCTCTCTCTTAAATTGGGAAATTTCTTTCCTCTGATTTCCTAGAACATTTGCTTATTGTCTGTATAATTCATCTGACATTTACTAGATCAGGCCTGTAGAGTTAATTAACTTTTCCTATTGCTCCATCACCTACATTGAAAGACTCCAGGGCAATCTCTCCTTGCTTATTGTATCTGGGCCACAATACTTGCCACACAACTGGGCTCAAGGAACAAATGATGCTTTTAGAATTTCAAGAAGGAAACATACTTCAGAAGCCATGGAGTCATGGAATCTGTAATAGT